CCTCTAGTTGTTGTTGTTTCCTTTGAGTATTTTGGTTATAGTCCACTGTTACAACCTAGCCATCGAAGTCTTCTTTCTTACTTCTGCCACTGCTACTAATTTTGTGGTTACGTAGTCTAATAGACTGTTGGCTGATGGTGCAGTGGAAATCCTAAGTTGAGAGGACCCAGATGTTGCCCATCACCCCCTCCCCCCCTTCCCTTCTCCACAGATAAACCCCAGGGACATGACAATACCTGTATAACTTAGAATCAGCAGTGTCGCAGGAGCTGCCGAAAGGTAAACCTGAGTTGGTACTCCAATCGCCTAAGGGGCAGCACTCATGTTTTATTTCTGAGTTTTCGCTCCTAGGTGGGTTGCTGTCCCCAGTTGACGAATCTCATCTGTCCCCGAGGGTTTGAACACGGGACTTTAGGGTTAGTCTTTTTGAGCCTACTATTGAAATAATTATATGAAACAATTCGTTTTATAGCAATAAAAAATACAATATCTCCCACTCTTCAAACACCAGCAGAAAATGAGAAAGATCCATGCTTTAAGATTGAGCGTCTGCAATAATGTTACTTCAATTATGTTCCATACTGGGCCTGTGGTCCAGCTGTTGGTTGGTCCTTGACGTCATTTTCAATGCTGTTAGTAGCGCCATCACTTGATCACAATGCTTGATATTTTTGAGACCAGTTAAGGCATAAGGGAAATAACTCGACTTAAAATAGTTTTGACAGAGTTATTTTTTTTCTCCATACATATCTTCAACTCCATTTTTACTTTTTCGTATATAAGAAGTATAAAGAAAGTCTTGTAATCGTGCAGAAAAAAAAATCGAGATTTTTACATATCTCGACGTTTTACACCTCACTGGTACGGAAAAAAATAATTTTGCAATCTTGTCCGTATGTCTGTGTGTGTGAGTGTGTGTGTGTGTCTGTCTGTGTGTAAACACGATAACTTGAGTACCGTTACAGCTAGGTTGGTGAAATTTCATATATAAATATTTTATCAAAATCGTAGATCCGTATCAACTTTTGATCTATTTCCGATAACCGGAAGTGGTACTTTTTCTACTTTGAATTTTTCAAAAGCCTATACCTTCAGTACTATTTCAGATAGATAAATGAATTTTCACATGTAAGTCAAATTTTGAGTAATTTCCGTTGACCGGAAGTACTAATTTACACTATTTCCGATTTCTCAAAAACGCATGTAAATTTATAAAGTACTAATAATATAGCGCACTATTATGCACATTTTGTTTTGGTGTTCGTTTGGTGCGCAATTCTTTTTTCTATGAGATTCTATTCTATTTTTAAAAGTGTAAGTAATTAAAAATCATCTCTATATTCCAAGTTATATAAGAATATTCGAGAAAGTTTAGGGGAGATCACTCCCGGTTTATTTTTTAAATAAATGCAATTTTTCTCTCGGGAATTGTTAATACTCATTTGTTTGTCTCACTAATGAGTATCGTTAAGTTACAAATTTAAAACGAGTTACGGCATTAAAAATGTTGACACAATATCTGTGCCTGATTTAGGTGATTCACTGTGATAAACTGAATATAAATGAGGATAACGGACCACTAGTTCTTCTAGACCAGTGGTACCGAACCCCACCACTTCTTCTAGACCAGAGGTACCGAACCCCACCACTTCTTCTAGACAAGTGGTACCGAACCCCACCACTTCTTCTAGATTAGTGGTACCGAACCCCACCACTTCTTCTAGACAAGTGGTACCGAACCCCACCACTTCTTCTAGACCAGTCTTCTAGACCAGTGGTACCGAACCCCACCACTTCTTCTAGACCAGTGGTACCGAACCCCACCACTTCTTCTAGACCAGTCTTCTAGACCAGTGGTACCGAACCCCACCACTTCTTCTAGACCAGTCTTCTAGACCAGTGGTACCGAACCCCACCACTTCTTCTAGACCAGTGGTACCGAACCCCACCAGCAGAGCCGGCGTTAGGAATACGCTGGGCCTAGGGCCAACCATCCGCGCGGGGCCTGCTTTTTTCCATTATATAAATAGCCTATATATATATATATATATATATATATATATATATATATATATATATATATATATATATATATATATATATATATATATATATATATATATATGTATGTATATATATATTTATTTATATATATATATATATATATATTTATTTATATATATATATATATATATATATATATATATATATATATATATATATATATGTGTGTGTGTGTGTGTGTGTGTGTGTGTGTGTGTGTGTGTGTGTGTGTGTGTGTGTGTGTATAGTCCTATATAATATGCATACACACATAATAACACATAAATGTTTTGGAGTCTATAAGACTTTAATAACAGATGTTTACCTCTCCCACGTTTTAACCCAATGTTCTTAGTTTTTTTTCCTTGCTAAGATATTAAATCACTTTTGACAGTTATGTAATTCATACCAAATCACTTAAGAAAATTCAACCACGTGCCAATTAATCAGGAAAATAAAGTTGTTTAAATTGTTTGTTGATGACTAATTGTTAATATAAAAGCAGGGGCGTAGAGAGCGGGGTGACACCAAGGCAAAAAAAAGCAAAACATATACAAAAATGATAGTTCCACTTTAAAAAGTGGTTAATTAGAGTGTTAATAGTCTTTTAAGAGTAAATTTGAAAAAATCCCGACAAGGGTGGAGGGGGGGGGGGTGGTGGTGACACCATAACGTAAACCTGCTAATGATAGAAAAAAACATGCTACATCAACACTTTTAACTTTCTTCCAAAAAAATAATAATAAATCACTCTGTCTAATGCCCCTTGATATAGATCCTTAGGACCTCCCCCCCCCCCCCCCCCCTGTCGCCCTCTTTCCACCCCTCTGCACGCAACTGAATGTTAATTTTGTTATACCAAGACAAGTAGGGCTACATATACGACATCTACAACAAGCAAGTCAGGACTAGCGTTCATCAAGTCACTAACTGTCGTCTACTACAGGCATCCCGTCTGCTCACTAAAAGGACGTCTTCATCGGTATCACTTTACGTTTTGCCCAATTTTACATCCCATGTCAGGTCGGGGGCTGATTCGCGTCCAACTATCTCCAGTCAGCTCAGGTCAAATGCGAGGCGACCGTACCCAGCACACAGCGAGGTGTGGCACTGTTTTTGTATCGAATTACGGCCTGTCCCAGTTCAGGTGGATGATAACTCACTAACATCAACCGTGGCCTCAGTTATAACAATCAACAACTTCAGCATTCGACCATTTAGTTTTTCCCCATTGAATTCAGCAACAATTTTTTTAAGTTTACAAACTAATTCAGGTAACAATGACAGTGCTGAAGCGCGGGGCCTAGGGCGACCGCCCCGTTTGCCACCCCCTAACGCCGGCTCTGCCCACCAGTTTCATATGCGCATTTACCGAACCCTCCTAATTCACTGTATCGACCGCAAGTCCAACCCCCGACGAAATAGAATTGATGTAGAAATATATATTTCAACAAGTGCCCCCTCCGGAAATTTCAAATGCCCTCTCCTTTCCACCCACCCCTCTCCACGGGAGAAAAAATGTCTTTAAAAAAGCCCAGGTCGTAGGTTTGTCTCCACGATATAATTCCATGTCTGTCCAAGCTTGTAGTTGTTGTTGTTTCCTTTGAGTATTTTGGTTATAGTCCACTGTTACAACCTAACCATCGCAGCCTTCTTTCAGATTTCTGCAACTGCTACTAATTAGGTGGCTACATATTCTAATAGACTGTTGACTGATGGTGCAGTGGAAATCCTAAGTTGAGAGGACACAGATGTTGCCCATCACCCCCTCCCCTCTTCCCTTCTCCACAGATAAACCCCAGGGACATGACAATACCTGTATAACTTAGAATCAGCAGTGTCGCAAGAGCTGCCGAAAGGTAAACCTGAATTGGTACTCCAATCGCCTAAGGGGCACCACTCATGTTTGATTTCTGAGTTTTCTCTCCTAGATGGGTTGCTGTCCCCAGTTGACGAATCTCATCTGTCCACGAGGGTTCGAACCCGGAACTTTAGGGTTAGTCTTTTAGAGCCTAGTATTGAAATAATTATATGAGACAATTCGTTTTGTAGCAATAAAAAATACAAGATCTCCCACTCTTCAAACACCAGCAGAGAAAGAAAAAGATCCATGCCTTAACAATGAGCATCTGCCAATAATTTTTTGATAGTTCCTTTTCCATTCTAGGCCTAATGTTTGGTCCTTGAGGTTATTTTCATTGCTGTTTGTGATCCAATCACTTCATCAAAGTGTTTGATGGTATTAAGACTAGCGTAAGAAAAATAACTGGACTTAAAATAAGATTGACAGTTATTTATTTTTAAGTTCAAAATCCACCAGGACTTTGATGCCAAAGAATAAGTGATCATATCTCTCCGGTTATTACACAAAAATTCCTTCTCGCCAAGCGCTTTTAATGTAGAAATTTTTTTTTAATGAAAAACCTTGTAAATATTTTTGAAAACTGTCTTTAGAACAGTAAAGAAAATATTAAACCCACCCAGAAAATGTATTTGGTGACAATGGCAGTGTGACAGTTTAGCCTACCATTGAAAGTATAATGAGTCAATCAATTACACAAGACTATAAAGCCTACGGAAACAAAAAGAGTATGTAGCTACCATCAGATTATAAGGTCTGTGAAATAAACCATGGTTATCCTAACAGCTTGTAAGCTCATCAATTTGAAAATGGCTTTCTTAAACTTCTTTCGTTTTTTTCTTCTTTGATCTTAATTCTAGTGTTGGAAGAGATTCCCTCCAACACAATTAAGTATTATGTGTCAACTTGTTATGCTCCATAAAAGGCCGTTGACTCTATAAGTGCCTATTGTTTACGTATGCACAGTCACTGTTAAAGAAATTATATTCATATTCAATGTATACGCTACATTGATTTTATCCATCACTGCTTTATGTGCTTTCCTCAGCAATAAAAACAAAACAATCAGATGAGAATTTTCATAAATTTTATTTAATACCGTATAATATTTTTAAAAACACGTTTGGAAAGAAATTTTAGAACCGTCAGCGGACATCATCACCAAATAGCAAAAGCAAACATCACACTTTTCACAACCAACTAGCCATACAACAGTCAACAGCTACTTACAAAACCAAAGTATTTTTAAGATAAGGTAGAAAATCTTATGTAGCTCAGTGACGTCTTGTGTTAATGACAAGAACTGCTATGTTAAAGCTAAGCTCCCCAGCTTAAATATAACTAAATAGAACTCAATCTAGCAAGCTATAATTATTCTGATAATAATTTTATGAAATAATAAACTAAAAAACAGACATTTTAAGAAGTTTACAAACTGAATAAACTGCAAGACACCAAAATATCATAAAACAATAAACAAATTAAATTAAGAGCACATATTTTAAGCTTGTGTTAGTTCATATATAGCTCAAGGCAAAATGTTTGTTTCAACTCTTTTCTTGCATCAATGTACAATTTCAAATCTAATAAAGTATATTTAAGCTTGCACACTTGTAAAGATTTATATCAAAACATTAGGTGGCACCTGGTTACCATAAAGCATTCATGAACTTTAAAGGTTGTTAGTTCACAGGAATAAATATTTATAAAGTTGTAAAAGTTTTATAAAGTTTAGCCATCAATAGCAATATATCACAGATATTTTTTTTTCACATTTTTACATCACAATTATTTCATATACTCTGTATACAGCATTTACATTCAAATAAGATAGTTATTTCTAGCCAGTAATAATATGGTTAAAAAATAAACTATATTTATATATTATATAGGCTAAATATTTAAAACGTTAAACCTAATGTTAAAATAATAATACAAAAGTAGAAATTAAAACATATTTTAAAGAAACTATTCTGTAAATAAAATCTGAAATGATTAATTAAACTCTATATACAAATTCAGTTAGACTGGTCGGGTGGGTAAGCACTTGGTTGACAACCCCAAAGTCAGTAGTTTGAACCCTTGGGTAGATGAGGCTGGGGACAGTAACCCATCTAGGAGAGCTAACTCAGAAATCAAACAGGAGTCAAGCCCCTTAGGCGATAGGAATACCAACTCAAGTTTCTTTTCGGCAGCTCCTGCGACACTGCTGATTCCAGGCTGTAAAGGTAACATCCTGTTTCTTGGGTCCATCAGCTGTGTGGGAGAGAGGTGGGGGGGGGGGTCCAACATCTGGCTCTTCTCAACCTAAGGCCCAGGCTTTGTGCTTGGATTTCCAATGCGCAATTATCCAATAATCTATTAGAGCCACATAGACATACAAATTAAAATATAAGTATATTCGATACATATCTTGTATTTAACTAGAAACAAAGATTTTCCCACCTAAGGGAAACAATGCAAGAGTAATATTTGTTCATTAACAAAATGAGTTAAATTTGTTTTACTATACAAAAAGAATTTATGACTAAAATAAAGCATTCAAAAACATACATGTAAAAAAAAAATAATAAGTTAACTTAGCATAAATTTAAAAAGGTATCATGTATATTTAGTTCCGTTTTTAAAACTACTTATGATTTAGCTTTTGAATTTTTCAACGTTTTTTCAAAGACTATAAGATTACAAATCTGGATTCACCACATTATATCATATTAAACACAGCGACAATGATTTATTCAAATCCTCTGTAATAATTCACGGAAACCCTGTCTGTTCAATGTTTTCTATTAAAAACTGAAATATTCTTACATCACTCTGTTTCTTAAGATTTAATCTAAACCATAACAAAAATTATTATGCTATGTTAGTCATAAACAGTTTGTAAACGGACAACCCAGTCTTATTTATAAACCTTGAAATGCTATCATATACTTACACTGCTTTTGCATAATTTACAACATGATACACTAATCCTTATACGTCTTTAATTTTGATAAATCCAATCTTAGCATCAATAAATCTTCATCCACAATAACAATCACAGCAATGGGTGGAATAATTGAAATTGTATCAAGATCAACTCACATATCTGATTAGTAAATATCTTATTTATATATGTATGTATTTTAATACCATTAGATTCGTTAAAAGCATTTGAGTATTGATTTGTAAACATGATAACAGTACAGAAAAATCAAGCGGAAATCATCAAAATATTCATACATTAAAAAAAAAATATTACAATTCTTGTTAAAACCAAGAAGAAATAGTACGTGATTTACAGTAGGCGCCAACACAAAAAAAAAATCACATTTAACAATTATAACTTGCTCTTCTAATTACATAAATGCAATATAAAATGCAGACTCTATTTTACTAAATGCTTCAAAGTACGCAAATGTAATCTAAAATATTTATTAAAAAAATAAATCCAAATACACTTTTACAATACAGTTACAAGGAGCAAACATTTAAGCTAGATATTTAGAAATAATAAACAAAAAGGGCTGAAACTTTGACGGAATGTATGGTCACCAATATTCTAGATCTGAATCCCCTTCTATATCTTCTTCTGTTGAAGAGTCATAGCTTCCGCTGGAATCATCATTAGCATCCTCGCTATCATCAGCATCGCTGTCATCGCTGACCAAGTCAAAGATGTTGCGCACCATGCTGTTGTGCATGGGGCGTTGAGCTTGCAGAGCGCAGAACTTCAAAGACATGCGTAGATACAGTAGTTGAGCCTCAAAGTGAATTAATAAGGAATGTGGTAGCTGTACTAGTTCTAGAAGGCGGCGCAGCACAGTGCAGTTTAAGACCAGGGTGATGTATTCTTCGTACTTGGGTGGGTTGGTGAGAAGCTCGTGGGCGAGAAAGTTTTCTTGGATGGACGAGACAGGCAGGATGGTGTGAAGGCAAGCTGTGCTTTCAATGAAGCAACACTGTAATATAAGAAACATTTAATAAACCAGGTATTATAACAAAACATTTTTAACTGCACACAATAATGTAACGGCAAACTGTGCTCTAAATAAACCAATGCTGTCAAATAATGAATATTTAATAGACAGATTTTTTAAAAATCAAACATAATTGTAAACAATAGTGCAAAGGCAAGTTGTGGTTTAAGAAAAGCAACACTGTCAAATAATAAATTTTTGACAGATATATTTTTATTTTAAATTGAACATTTTGGTAATTGTACACAATACTGTGGAGACAAGCCTTGCTTACAATGATGAACATTATAAAATAAATATTTAATAGACAAATTATTTTAATCAAACATTTTTTGGTAATTGTATACAATGTGAAGGCAGGCTGCGCTTTAATTCAGGGAATTCTGTCAAATAATAATAAATATTTAATAGAGATTGTTTTAAAATTGAACATTTTTGAAATTCTACACAAACATTAAATGAGGTACAGATGTAGGACATTTGATAGTTAATAAAACAGTTACTAGCTCAGAGCCCAGTCTTAAACTAGTAAGTCCCTAACTACTAGTGGAAGAAGTCATTAGGGAGTTGTTTCAATATAATGTCTTAGTCTAGACAGAAATTGTGATAGGAATATATCTTATATTATAGTTGTCAGTCAAGAGGTGTCAAGGTTTTAAACATGTAAACAAAACCCTACAACAGCTGCTTTGAGTAGCATGTCCAGTACACTGATCAAGTGACACTCAATACTGGATATTGCTTATATAGTAAAGGGTTGTTGTTGCTTTTTTTTTTTATTATTTTTTAGCATGTTAAATTTATACAAATCTGAAAAACAAAAACATATGCTAGATAAAATATAACATGATTTTTGAAAATCCAAACCCACCTGAAAAACAAAAACATACGCTAGATAAAATACAACAAGATTTTTGAAAATCCAAACCCACCTGGAAAACTTTCCGTGCTGCCAGTTGTTTGAGTGAGGCACACCTGTAGCCAAACATGAGCTGGGTGAGGGTGCCAGCGTAGGACTGGAGGTGAGAAAATTCTGGAAAGTCGTGCTCAATCAGGTGTGACAGCTCCCTGTTTACCTCTCTGGTATTAAAGTAACCTGCAGGGTACAAGACTGGTAACTATGGCAACAAGATGTGGGCATGCAGGGTAACAGTCAATTTTATTAAAGATAACTACAGTTACAGTAAGAGAGTATGCAGGGTGATAGGCTTTTTTAATATGACAGTAAAAACAAGTAAAGATTCCTCTTTAGACCAAGTGACCCGTTGGGCAGATGTAGTATGTTTCTATGTTTCTTCACCTCTGTATATGAAGGGATGGTGTGGTCAGCACTATACCCTTTACTTTCCCCAATGTAAGTCAGGTACTCATCAGAACTGGGGGGTGGGGGGGGGGGGGGGCTCAGAGATGTCCTAAACTCACAAATCTGAGCTGAGATATAAACTCGAGACCTTAGGGCTAGCAGCCCAACGCTCTACCATTCAACCACGCCATCCCACATGACAAAAACGAAAAGCTGACTAATAAATAACAGCAACTAGCTACTGGCAGGTACAAGAAAAAAATTGGACCTACAGATAAACAGTAATTTTGATAGTAGTAAGTTACAAAAGATAACAAAGTTTACCTGAATCTACCAAATATGATATAGGCTGAGGGGCTTTTGTGGCTTGCTCATAAAGGCTTGAGTGAAGTAGAGACTGTTGTAGTGGAATGGTCATGAAGGAAGCAAATAAAGCTGAAAGTTTTCTGTGGGGGGGGGGGGGGGGGGGGGGGGGGGGGGGGGGGGGGAGTAAAAATGTATTTCAGTTTTAAAAAGCTGAAAAATAATTCAAGAAGAAAGATGAATTCTTTTTTAAATCAGTGAAAACAGACACCTTTTTTTTCTCCGAGTCTCCCACACGAAGCACTGCAGGCTTGGACTAGCCCCTGCGTCTAGGAGTGTTTTGGCGCTTTTCAAATCTTCTCTAAGGATGCAGTGGAACAATGCAGTTTGTCCGAAGTTATTCTGATGGTTCACCTGCAAATTTTCAAATATCGGAACCCATCAACTCTTTCAATCTGGTGCCACAACTGAAGACCCTACATAACACTGGAATTTTTCTTTAAAAATAAAGTTAAATAATAAAACCCAACATAGTTTATAAATTTCTCTTTCAAGAATAAATAAAGACAGCATAATTTTTTAATTTTTAAAACAAAATCAAATTAATCTTGCTATTTATTTCCTACTACTTACATCTGTTTCTTTTCTCTTCAAAAGATAATGCAGAAAATCATATTTTATGCTCAATTTAGACTTGAAATCATCTTCAAAAAGGGCTTTTCTGGCAATGTCGCTTTCACTTGCAGGGGACACATCATAGCTGTTGTCACTTTCAAAAGCAGCCACGTTGCACAGCGCTAGGAGTGGAGTGTTACCATTGCCATCCACCATGCTGATATCTGCTCCGTTGTCACACAGGATGCTCAACAGAGACATGTCGTGACTGTACATAGCCAGGCGATGGACAACGGTCATCTTTCCCTCGTCCAGAACATTGGCATCACCACCGTGCCCTGTAACACGTATACGTTAAATAATTTTATTTCTGGGTTGATTCTCAACACACACAAAGAATAAGATTTTTTTATTAAAAATATGCTTTTTATTTTTAAATTTTCAAACAGCTTTTAAGTATTAAAAAAAATGAAATAAAAAAACAATTATATTATTTTAGCCTTACTGATCTCTGATGAAAAATATGTTGGACTTTAATTCATAGTCTGTTGAACACTTTTTTAATATCTTAGACTATAATCATCTAATACAACAGTGTTACATTATATTTAATTGGGCCTGCATTACGTACTTAGTATACTAAATATCAGATCTTTAACATCCTCCTTCACATCATCTTTAGACATCATATATTGCTTGTTTAAACCAACAACTAGCTCAGTCAGGGGGTTCCATACTCTCTGATGTGGGTGCCTAGAAAAAAGTGTATATGTATATATATATATATATATATATATATATATATATATATATATAGATATATAGATATAGATATATATATATATATAGATAGAGATATATATATATATATAGATAGATATACATATAGATATATAGATATAGATAGATAGATATATATAGATATACATAAATTTGTAATTATTTAGATACAAGCATAATAGTTCCAAACTGTGTTTAACTGTGTAGACCGAGGTGAACTACATTTGAGAAAGATCCAAAAATCTAAGAGAGCTACAGCAGATATGTGGTATACAGACCAGGGGGAGTCTGGATCATCAACATCAGGCACTCTTGTCAGGTCAATGAAAAAATCAACCAGCAGCTCTAGGCTAGACTTTCCTGGGCTGATGTACTCAGAACCAAAATTTGTCTGGGGAGAGAAAAAAAAATTGAAACCAACTTGAAAGTGAGAAGATATTTTAGTACATCCATGAATAAATAAATTGAATACTTGGAACATCTTTTACAGAGAAATTAGATAACTAAATAAAACTGTTTTTAAACGGAATCATAAAAATAAGTATTAGTGGATTAGCTGCCATCTCTGTAGAATAAAAACTTCTTATCATGATTATCTAGACAATATATGTTGGAGGGGAGGGGTTGTAAAATAATAAAAATAAGTAACATGATAACTTAGCAAGATAAAAAAATTTTAATAAGAAATACTCAATAAGTGCATTTAAACTATGGATAAAAAAATTACAAGAAAAAATAATTGCCAATTTAAAATAGATCAATTTTGTTTTAAATATTACAAGCTAATTTTTTAAAATACAAATGTTACAGTTGAAAATTCTTTACCACTGGTACTCTGTGATTCACATTGGCTCCTCTTTCTATAAGTAGCTGTGCAAGATAGAAGTTACGAGTAGCAACTCTCTGATGAAACTCATCTACACCACAAAGACATATGTATAAAGGAGTTCGCTGATAGCATCCTAAAAAACAACAGAAAAATTACATTTAATAATGTGTATGACAATATTGTTTATGTTTAATGTTTTAAAAATATTAAACAGCCATCCACCCCACCCCAATCACAATGCAGACTGGTAAAGATGGTGTGGTCGAAAGGCAGAGCATTAGGCTGCTAGCCTGAATGTTTCAATTCATATCTCAGATCGGGCTTGTGACTGAAGGATATCACTGAGTCCACCTAGCGCTGATGAGTTCCTGACTTATGTTGATGAAAGTAAAGGTGGCTGGGCATAGTGCTAACCACACCATCCTTTCATACACCTAGGTCATTTTTATGAATTTCATAAACTCAAATGAAATAAATCAAGCTGCAGATACAAGCACTATCTCTTTCAAATCTACATTAAAAAGAAGGCAATCAGCTGATTTCAATGCTTACCATCATCCAAATAAGAAGCGTTAGGGCAGTCAATAATAAAACGTTCTGCAGTAGCGTAGTTCCCTTGTTCTAAAGCCTGGGTCAGAGGAGTGTCGTTCATTCCAAATTCAACGTGAAACACAAAGGCCATCTTGTATGTTCAGCTGTTAAGAAAAAAAATGCTAACATTTTACAATTACATTAATAATAAGTAGTTGTATGCTAAAAACCAAAAATTTAAAGAGAGAGTCTAGCTGTATTACAAATAGCCCTAAGAAGGCTATTCATGGTACGCTATTTTTAACCAACCAATCATATTAATTTTTAAATTTATCTATGCGTATGCTGACATTTTTTAAAATTCTTTTTGCGTATGACATTCAACTTTACAACATAGTGATGACTGTTCGAGGTGGTCGAAGTGGTTGCGCAACAGGCAAGTTATTTTCATAGCATGGGTTCCATTCCTACAGCTCCAAGTTTTTATTTTGCTATTTTTTCTTTTTTACTTAGTAAATAAAGAATGTTTGTTGAGCTTTTTTAGGGTTAGGTATTAGGGTCATGTTTAGGTAAAACCTTAGTTTAGCGTCGGTTATTATTCCGGAATCGTATAGCAGTAAAAAAACAGTAAAACAATGGCAAAGTCTGTCACACAGTTCCGGTATTCACCGGAAGTACTGTAAACCATACTTTATTTGGCGTTATCTTTTATTTTTAATACAGAACGTTTAAAATTTGGATAGATTTATTTTAATTGCGTGTTAAATCCTGCTTTATTACTCATTTTGTATAAATAGTTATTTTTGAGTGTTTCAGCTAAATATTTCTGCTACTAAACATTGTATGATTGTTTAACAGGGTTCGTACACAGTCTGAAAAAAGTCTTGACTTTAAAAAGTCTGGACGGGTCTACACTGTGGTATGACGTTTTTCGCTGGGTATCGCAGACGAAACCTGATTTCTCAGTTACTACGTCATTGGGGGAGGGGGGAAGAGTGTAAGACCTGTCTTTTTTTTTGTTGTTGCTTGACTGACCGTGAAAACTTTTAGGGCTAGACTAACCCGCCCCAGTAACTAAGGTCACTGATATCTAAACTTGTATGAACTCATGGTGACCCCAAGTACGTAGATGGTGCTGTCTGGCTAGGTGAGGGAGGAGGGGAAATAAAAGTTACGGTACAGTTCATGATATGACGTATTAGACACTATGCTACTGTGACCTCACAGTGACCCCTCCACCGTCTCTTGTTGTGTGTGTGTGTGGGGGGGGGGGGGGGGGGGATACCGGTAGTTTTTAATAGCAGACAAAATTTTCTCAGCTATAAGCACAAATAATGGTGTGGTTATAAAGTCTTGTTTCATTTTCAAAATAGTGTACGAACCCTGTTTCTAGTCACTTACTCTTTTTGTAATCATTTTTACATCTTTGTAATAATGTTTACTATTTTCGTAATCTAGATTTTTGTTTTTACTTGGTGTAGCATTTAGCTAGATCTCGATCTAATTAATTAATGGTCGCAAATCCGCTGCAAGCCAAAAACATTAAATTATTACATTTGACTTCATTATTTATATTTATATTAATATATGTTTTTTTTATTTTTAGATCTACTAATTTAAATCTAATATTATAGTTATTCTTGTTTCCTTTTGTCGATTAAACTTAAAAAAATAAAACATTAATTTACTACAATCGACTTTCAATTTATTTATATTTCAATGGTCAAATAAACCGTGGTTTACCGTAACTCTAGTTACCGAAACTCAACAAACATTGCCCCATAATTTCCGACGCTAAACTAAGGTTTTACCCATGTTTAGGGTTAGTCCCCCCCCCCCCTGCAGCCCTTTGCTCCCCAGGGGCCACAAAGGAATGATAATGATGATGATTAGGGTTAGTCATTACGGCTAATCACATTAGGGTAAGGTTTAGAGTTGGGCATTGGCCTATGTCCTATAGGTAAGTTTTAGGTTTAGTGATAAGGTTAAATTTAACATTACACCTACATAACAGTACATATTGCATAAACAGTGGAATCACAGAATAACAAAAAAAACTCCTCACTCTGATTGCTCAGTATACAAACAGCCACAGCCAATTTAACATACAAATTAAATTGTGCAAAAGACAGTGGAGAGTCAGAGTAAGTTAGTCACTAGTCAGTCTAAAAGTCAGTCTTACTTATTACTTTAGTAACTCTTAGTCTCTAGTCTACTCTTAGTCTTGAGTAACCTACTTGCTAAGCTAGCAACACTAGGTCTGAGTAGTGAGTAGAAGGCCCTACTGCCCTACTCACTAGATCTAGACTAGATCTAGATCTAGAAGTAGATCTAGAATCTAGATCTAGATTAGATCTAGAAGGAGGGAGAGTCAGTGGCAAAAAAAAAAAATCACTGAAAAAGTGAAAAAGTAAAAAATAAAAAAGTAATGAAAACAAACAGTAGCTCATTATCAGTCATGTTGTTAGTTTTAAAAATATCTAACTCATAACTTAAATCCGAACCATTATAATAATTAAATACTAGATCTAGATTTTTTTTATATAGATTACAGGCCTAATTAATTAAGTTAATAAGCAAATTCATTACCAGCTGGCGTTTGTTGTCAAAGAATACATTCGAGCTCTTTTGTCTGTAAATACAGTAATAAGTATTACTTCCTGTACTTAGTTAAATGCTTATTTTAATTTTTAGATTTTTTTTAGGTTTTTTTTTTTCATTCGCTTATTTTTAATTTATTTTATAATATATTACGCCCAAATTTTTTAATGAAACACGCCTATGAAACATACTCAGCAATAAGTATTGTGTTCTATTATAAATCCAAAAGATGACTAATAAATCGTATGACTCACGGAGTTGTGGTAACCGAGATTAATGAGACGATATAATATAGACTAATACTAATACTAGATTCTAGATCTCCTAGAAAATTGGGGTTTAAAAATTCATTTTAATATTCAATATAGATCTAGATATAACATTAACAATGATCAATATCAACCCTAACCCATACATATAATAACGCAATGATAGAAAATGGTAAACCAGCCAGTCGAAAATGAAAAAAAAATTAATTCTGTGATGTGATGTGGCTGGGTAGTAGAGCGTACGATAGATAACCCGAAAGTCTCGACTCACCCAGAGTTTCTTCCAGCCCCCCCCCCCCCCCCCCCCGAGGAAAGTCTAACCCCCCCCCCCCCCACACACACACACACACACAACCTGAAAGGAATGGAATGTATATAGAAAACATATACTTTTATCAGTGCCCCCCCCCCCCTCCCACCGGAGAAAAAATGTCCGGAAGAAACACTGGACTTACCTAGCTGTAAAGGGCGTTTTGACTAACGTGAGGGAAATTCAAGGTGGCTGGGTATAGACCTGTAGAGATCTAGGATTGTTTCTTTTTTAATGCATTTTTTTTTTGCTCCTTTATATCACGTTTCATTCATGTCATACATTCATCCATGACATTTTATTATATTTTTAAAAGATAATATTGCATACATATCCATTGTAAATCTTTTTTTTTACTACGGTGTTATGTTTTTCCTTTTTGTTTTAAAGTTCTTAATTTCAATTGTGAATTTTTAAAACTTAGCAAAATATGGTTGCTCTCACTAATTATTCGTACTTTTTTAGGGTGTATGTCAACATCGTGAAGATTCAGGATGTATTTTGTAAAGAAATATGGATAACAATGACAGCATTTGTATACCGCAATGTCCGTGTGTTTGTAACAAGTATATTTCAATACAAGTGGAGTTTTTCTTTTTTTGTTTTTTAATTTGTAAATGTTCACATTTTAGTTTTTACGGGGGGAAAAGTCTGTTGGGACTGTTTAGGTTGCTCGTTTACAGGTCATACATTACCAGTTTTAAATATATTTAGAAGGCTACTACGTCTTCTATAATCCATCATATCTCATTTAATTATTCCTGGGTTAGCGGAGTTAGTGCAATGAAGTGTTGGTTGTACAGATAAGAGATGTGGATCGCAGGGTGTGGGGCTTTATGTGAAAGATCATCATATTTTCCCGTTATTAAAACGTTTATTATGCTTTTTTTTCTGTGCTTCAAAATTTTAAATACAATAGAGTTTCATGACTATTGCTCGCCAAATGAATATGATAATAATAGTGCGATATGGTAGTAGAGGAGCACCCTACTAATTTCAGAAAACTTTAATTAATCGGGCATCCAATTAAGTCAAATTTATGTCAGATTTTTATTGTCTTCGGGTCTTAACCCACGTGACATTTTTTGAAACGAATCGGTCAATTAGAAGTGCTCGAAATTTCGCTCGCCCGTTTCGATCAATTACGACAGAAAGACAGACATGAAGATTGGTATGAAGCCAACTTGCCAAATATGGAAACATCAATTAAAGAGAGATGCTCTCATTCAGCATAGGAATAAACCATCTCAAAGCAGCATCCCGGCTTTCAGAGCTGCAAGAAATAACGCCCGGAAAACAGCCAGACAATACGCAAACAACCACTGGCCGGAGCTCTGTCTAAATATACAGTCGGGCACATACTACGGTATTATAATAGAAATGTATGAAGGAGTAAAAAATAAAAAGCGTTTGGTCCTAAAACAAGCAAAAGCGCTTCACTTGAGGTCAAAGACGGGACTGTGTTCAAAGACCGCACATTGCAGATGGAAAGATGAGTTACATGTTACGAGGAACTCTATCAGGACGAAAATGATATCTCACCAGCTCTAACAGTAATGGATGATTTTTGATACACTTCCGACCGAAGTTGAACTTAGTCCTGCTATTAAAAAAGGGAAAAAGCTCCTGGAAGAGATTGTATCCCCGCAGAAATTATCCACACTAGAAAACAGGCACTGCTTTAATCACTCCACGAGCTACTAGCCTACTGCTACTATGTCAGTGCTGGGAAGAAGGAACAGCAGAGGCGTAGCGAAGGGGGGGAGGGGGGGCAGGGGTACAAAATGGGTTGGAAAAACAAATTAAGATCTCATTTTAGGTGCAGTTTTGCATTATAAATATAAAATATATATATAGATGGGGGTGCAAATGGAAAGTTTGAGGGGGTGCAAATGGAAAGTTTGAGGGGGGGGGTGCAAATTGAAAATTGAAAGTTTGTTCCCGAGGGGGGCGCCAAATCAAAAGTGTGTCCCCGGGTGCCGGGAAGGGTCGCTACGCCACTGAGGAACAGTCCCCCAAGTCTTAAACCCCTCCATTATCTACTAGCCTACTATGTCAGTGCTGGGAAGAAGGAATATTACCCCAAGACCTAAAAGATGCTAACATGGTCACGATATATGAAAACAAGGCTGACCGCCCTGACTATAAAAATTGTACCAGCTACAGCGGCATCACACTGCTCAGTATTGTTGACAAGGCCTGTGTACGCTAAAAGGCTACAAATCCTGGCCGATCGAGTATATCCAGTCACAGTACGGATTTAAGAGCTGGAAGATCCACTATAGACATGATATTCTCGCTAATGCAGCAACATGAAAGCAGACTTTGTTCCAGGCAGAGCCCCCGCCCCCCCCCCCCCCCCCCCCCGAAGAAAATCTACCGCCACCCCCACCCACCCCCACCCACCCCGTCCAGGAACGAAATGGAATGTATATATAAAACATATACTTTTACCAGTGTCCGCCCCCCCCCCTTCCACCCCCCCCCCCGAAAATATCCAGTCCCCCCCCCTTCCCCCCCCCCCCCCCCCCCCCCGGAGAAAAAGTCTGGAAGAAACACTGCATGAAAGTTGAAGAGAGCAAAGGCATCGACTGTACATCGCTTTTATTGAGCTAACGAAGACTTTCGATCTGGTCAGTAGAAGTGGACTGTTCTCGGTGCTGGAAAGAATTGGCTGCTGCCCTAAACGGCTGAAACGTGTTTGCTTTCCACGAAAATTTGCATGGGACGGTCATGTTTGATGTCTCTCTCTCTCTCTCTCTCTCTGAACCTTTTCACAACAAGCGAGTAAAGCAGGGATGTGTGCTACCGCCTACTCTTTTTTTTTTTTGGCATTTTCTTTTCTGTTATTGAAAAAGAAGACGTTTCCTTATTTGTGAGCTGCCGTTTGCTGAGGACGCTGAGATCACCTCATATACGCACATAGGCGTAGCGAGGGGGGGTGCGGACCGCACCGGGTGACACCATTTAGGGGGAGGGGGCACCAAGGCAAAAAATAGCAAAATATATAGAGAAAAATGATAATTCCACTTAATTAAGTGATTAATTCGAGTGATAAATAGTGTTTTAGGAGGCGCAAATCGAAAGTTTGAGGGGGGGGGGGGCAAATCGAAAATTGAAAGTTTGTCCCCGGGAAGGGTCACTACGCCTCTGGGGGGGGTTGACACCATTAAGTGCCGCACCGGGTGACACCCGATCTCCCTACGCCACCAGGGCTACAGAGACTTGTAAATTCTATGGCAGTCACGTAGTTTGAGCAGATGATCAGCTAAAAATCAAAATTAAGAACGATAAGAAGAAGATAGACTGTGTTTTTAATTGCCAAAATGTATATAACTAGGACTCAAATTAACCATAAACAGTAAATCATTGTCAAGCACGAAATACTGACCCTACCATTAATTAGACTAATTAGACAGAACCCTAACATTAACAAAACTATAACCAGGGTCGGCGCTACCTAAAGGTGAACTAGTCGGTCGCCTAGGGCTCCATCCCTGGGGGGGGGGGGGGCGCAAAAGGTTTAATCGCTATTATCAAAAAGTACCTAATAATTAATAACTTGTATAAAGGTATAGCGATCTATTTCGGTAACCAGGACGAACTATCAATTTTGCACCCCCACCCCAAAATTAGGTCTATATTATTATAGGCCTATATTTTTTTCGCGATAGTGAAAATGCAGCCCCACCTCCCTAATTTGGAAAGGTCGGGGCGCTTTTTACCAGTCACTTTGCCTTTTTAATTTGGTGTCACAAAATTGATGTAGAAAACGATTAAATAAGTTCGTAATTAAAATTTCGAACATTTCAAACGGTTATCTAATTTTAATAGGGCTTGTAAGCAGGGGCGTAGCGAGGGGGGGGGGTGCGGACCGCACCGGGTGACACCATTTAGGGGGTGACACCAAGGCAAAAAATAGCAAAATATATAGAGAAAAACTTGAGGGGGGGGGGGTGCAAATCGAAAGTTTGAGGGGGGGGGGGTGCAAATCGAAAGTTTGAGAGGGGGGGTGCAAATCGAAAATTTGAAAGTTTGTCCCCGGGCAGGGTCGCTACGCCTCTGGGGGGGGGCTGACACCATTAAGTGCCGCACCGGGTGACACCCGACCTCGCTACGCCACTGCTTGTAAGTCTCGTTTTCTCTGACTTTGAATTAGAAATCTGTCCTGGTGTATAGTTTTGTAATGACGGGGTGGTCAAAGTATTGTACTTGTTTGGTAAGTTTTGATGAATCCCAAGTTTTAAAGAGCCACAAACATTTTTTTTTTATTTCAATATTTTATTTTTTGATTAGGATTAGGTAAATAAGTTTGATGTGTTATTTAAAATAAATAGCTTTATATATGAAATAATATTTATTCATATAAAAACACTTGTTTACCTAGAATAATGAAATTAGTAATAAAAAATTAAAAATATATAGGACTGTCCCAATCCACTTTTGAAGCTGTTTTTTCCCTTCTTTACGGTCATCACTGGCTCAGGAGGTGTCTCCCATTAGCCAGGCAGCCCTCAACACGACAAACTGGTTTGGATATCGGTTTGATTACCGTGTATCGGTCGCTTCTGTCCTTTAGTTTTCTCCAGGCTTATCTTCCACCCCACTGGACATAGGGTAAACTCGTCGTACGCCACCGTCCAGTACCCGCCTCATCATTCGGAAGCTCATAACTAAAAAAACTACTTCACTCACGTCAAATTAATGATTACTGACGGATAAGGAAATGCATACTGAATAAAAAAAACATTCCCCATTTAACGATATTCGAAAACGTCCGCACCTGGACAGTGGCAAGCATGGAGGAATAGTCGACACGGGGCTGTCCGCAGTACGGCTGGGCCTGGTGCCCAAGCGGCTGTCAGCTGTCTGGATACTTACTACTACACCTATTCTCACTGTTCTCTGATGAGTATTTTTTCTTCTGTTTAAACGCGTTTCTTTACAGTATAATTTTTGTTATGAGTTTTGAAAATTAAACAATATAACTATTAATATTTGTGTAAGTAGCTGGAGAGCCGCATCTTGACATCAAGGGAGCCGCATGCGGCTCGCGAGCTGCATGTTGCCGACCCCTGTCTTAAACGGGTATCTACCTGTGCTTGATTATTTGAAAGGCGTCCCTTGATCTAGGGATCCAAAATATAATCCAATTATACAGACAAACATAATACAATGGTTAATTGTTGTCATCAAAATTGAATAGAAGTATGTTATAATAAAGCTAACGGTTTCGTATTTTCAAACAAAACCTACAGTTAAGTATTCAATAGGTAGAATATATTTTTTTACAAGTTGTTATAGCTAATATAAAAGTTTTGTTATAATTATTAGATAGTGAAATTTAAAGCGTTTTATTGTGTTTTTCAAGCATGTCTTAGTTACACTTGGTTAATTCAGCTATTCTTGTGAAAGTTATTTCCCTTGAATAAAATTTTGGTTTTTGGATTTTCAAATGGGAGATAATTCGTTGCTTAACTTTACATTCATTTCAAATTCCTGCACCTTAGGTTGACCGCTTACATGTAGATACAACTTTAAGTTATTATTTGTTATTGTAAAAGCTATTTAAAGCTTAAGTTCTAAACAAAATAGTTTGGTAGGGTTTTTTTTAGCATTATGAAGTTGAAAAACAAATACATCATTAACCGTTGTAGATTGCAATACTTAATGTTAGTAGACATACAGTCTTAATCGTAACTTCAACATCTAATAAATTGTCTTTTCATAGTTTTCATCCTCTCCTAAAGGATTCATAAATAACAATTTTAGGCTCGAATCTATTATTTATAACCTTCTATATTTCAAAAACAAACAAAAAATCGTTACATAATAACACAATATAGACATTTTACAATTATAAATAAAGACAGACAAGCTTATAACAACTAAGTTCCATTTGGGAACTCACCTTGGGAGGTTGTTTTTTTTTTTTGAGTGTTTTTAATTTTTTCCAGACTTTTTTCTCCCGGGAGTGGAGGGGGGGGGAGCACTCATAATCTTCTGGAATTTAAGGAATTGGTACAAACTTTTGAGACGAAGGAGGCAAGTAAAATTTGATTTTCATGTCTACTTATAATAAATTATTAATACATTGATAATATATTAATATGTCACTTTTAATTAATTGTTTTCTTATACATTTGTTTTAGTAATTAATTTGTGTGAAAGGGGGGCGTTTTAATAAGTTTTGCCTAAGACGCTAATTAACCTGGCACCGGCACCGACTATAACCCTAACCTTAACACTTGGAAGTTTATCAACAGGCTCATTATTATAAAGCAGAATAGTCTGGTACCACATCCATCCCAATAACAAAACACCTTCATTTTTTTAAACAGATTTTATTATATAATAAATACATTGAAAATTTACACTGTTATAAAGCAATAAAAGTTAGTCATGTTTATCATGTTTTCGATTGGTTGATTTCTTCAGTGTGACATTTAAATCATCCAATAGCTGCGTCTGGTTGACTTGAACATACACCCATGTGTACAGGGGAAGTAACTTGAGATCAAGAAGTTTGTATTTCAGAGTGTTGAGGCCGTCTTTGTGGATTCGATTTCGGCTTGATGCAAGCAGCTGTGTTCTGGAAAACCAGTCACCAAAATAGACAGAGGAATTCCACATTTGAATTACAAAAATTGCATACACCAATTTGTATATATGTATGTATATATATATATATATATATATATATATATATATATATATATATATATATATATATATATATATATATATATATATATATATATATATATATATATATATATATATATATATATAATGTATATGCATAAGTATATATATATATATATACACATACATAGTTATCCCTCTACAAATCAACAAAATTCTTGGTTTGCAACCACATACGTTTTAAATTAGGATGTCGTCTTACAAACCTGTCTTCTTGGTTTTCTTTGGCATGTCGCATCATAGTGTATGTTGCAACCCATGGCTCATAACGAGATATCAGCATGCCATGACTTCGCACTCTAATAATGAAAAATCTCAGAAACAGTTAACAATGAAAACTTTAAATTGTTCATTATAATTAATTAAAAAAGTGTAACACTATTGTCTGAACTACCAAAGTTTAGTTGCTAAAGATAAAAGAATTAAGTTATCCATACATATTTTTCATATTAAGATAAGGAAAGATTTTCTAAAGTTTTATCATTCAATAATGTTAACATTTAAAAATAAAAAATAAAAAATTTTAATTCTATAAATGGTTACAAGTGTGGATAAAAGTACTCACCTGTATGACATATCATCATCCTCCCCACCCCATCCAAAGTAAACATTGGAAAAACCATTCACCCGTGACATCATATCTCTTGTTAGCATAGACGCCCCACCAAATATGTTCTGATACATTAATCTGTGGGGGAAAATAAAATACAGGTACACCAAACACAGTAGCGTAGCGAGGGGGGGGGGGGCGGGGGGGGGGGGGGACATATGTCCCGGGGCGCCGACCTTAGGGGGCGCCAAAATGGGTTGGAAAAATAAATTGAAAGGTTGAGGGGGTTGCAAATCAAAAGTTTGAGGGTGGGGGGTGCAAATCGAAATCTCGATGGGGTGGGGGTGCAAATCGAAAGTTTGAGGGGGGGTGGGGTGCAAATCAAAATCTCGAGGGGGGTGTGCAAATCGAAAAGTTTGTCCCCGGGCGCCGGGAAGGGTCGCTACGCCTCTGATCAAACACAAGTGATTAATTTTACCTGGGGTAAATCTTTTATTGGACTGATTTTTTTTTATAATTTTAAGTCCTACTGTTAAACTGAAAACAAATTTAAGAAAATTTAAAATAAAAGAATAAAGATAGTTTTTTCCTAAAAATGTGTACTCTTTGAAATGTTAAGGTATAATTCTTGTCATACTCAACCAATGAAGTAATTTAATTATTTAACTTCTAAACTGCATTAAAATAAGTTATTTTACCAATACTGATATTTACTTTTATTTGTAATATAAAGCTATATTTTTTTAAGAAAAGAAAATTTTAATTTATTTACATTCATTATTTCCCTATACTTTGGTAGTTCATCTAATTCTTCTAAGATGGAACCGCAGTATGTATTTGCCACACAACAGATGTGATTAAAGTAATTAATTCTTACCTGTTGCCATGGACATCAATTGAAGCACTGAGGTGAACTGGGTGATCCCCACAGGTGTAATAATTTCTGTCGTCTAGAGGTAATAAGTCAACGTCATGAAAGACAAAACAGTCATAATCACGAAGCTTTAACGACTCCACAAAACCGATGTTCATAAGAATGGCTCTGTTGAACAGCTGCCCTTCAGCCTGAAAATATTTTGTTACTTGAAATATATTTTTAATGTAGCTTTTATTCAATCCTAATCTATAAATCCCCACGTTCGCACATCTCTCTCTCTCTCTCTTTCTCTGTCCGCAAAAAATTTTCGCCGGACATCACGTCAGAATCGGCAGCGATATATCGAGAACTTTTTACGGACTTTTGTTGAAAATAATATGTTAGATGTTTTAAATGTATAACCACAATTTTATTTAAAGAAGAAAAATAAAAATTTAAGGCGTATTCGAATGTAGAGAAACAGTATTATTTATGCAACCGGAAAAGCATTAATATATGTGAAAAAGAACGCATAAAACTGTGTCGTCACTATTGCTTATACATTAACTAATGACGTCATCTGCCGTGTTTAGAATGAAAAGAAATGAACTATTTCAGGGGTCGGCAACCTGCGGCTCGCGAGCCGCATGCGGCTCTTTAGGTGTCCAGTTGCGGCTCTTCAGCTCCATGCACAAATACTAATAATTATTTTATTTTATTTCCAAAACTTATAAAAATATTAGTCTGCAACACTCGGTAATAAAAGATATAACAATAGACATAAACAATAAACATTAACTATTCTATTAGAATATTTAGTTACTATCTATCTCAGTGTACTTCCTATTACATTGTCCATTTCGAATTGAAACATTCAACTTCATAGTGGATATCACAAAGAAACTAAAACTGAAAGGAAAATCTAGCCTATGTCTTGCTTAAAGTAGTGGTTTATTCGAAAAAACAAGCTTTTTTTTTTTGTTGAATACATGATGAGCGGTAAATTACTTAATTACGAAAAATCTGAAACAAATATCGTTATGAAACCAATGCTACTATTCAATCACTTCAGCATTAATATAAACATAATGAAGGGTGTTTTCACTGAGATATTTGAGCTATTCAAAACAAATTCAAGTACTCTGACTTACATAGTAGATCCTCTCATCACAAAAAAATGAGATTATCTCATATATTCAAAGCTATTTATTTTAAACGATATATATATATATATATATATATATATATATATATATATATATATATATATATATATATATATATATATATAGTATGATCTTTGTTTAGGATTATATAATTACTAAACAAATAAACTATTGACATAAAAATGTTAGTGGCTCTTTAAAACCCGGGTAATGTTGTAAATTGTAACTTTTGGCTCTTTCGTCTCAAAAGGTTGCCGACCCCTGAACTATTTAATTCAAATTTGATTTAGATCTACGTACACTATGAAATGTAGCCTATACAATACAATTTTTCCGGCCTAAACTCATAAAATTTATTTTATTTATTTGGATTCTAGATCTAGATATTCTAGATTCATCTATTCAAATAATACATTTCTATACTAAAGTATTTCAGGCCTTAATTACTTTATTGAAATCTTTGTTTATCTATGCAATTTGCTAATCTCTATAATATATAAAGCAAAGTTGTCGGGTGCCCGACAGGGCACTTCCCGGCGCCGCAGGCGCTTCAAATTTGGCAGGATCTTGCCTTGGGGCGACAGAACACGGTGGCCGGTTGGCCGAAAAGTCTACGATGATGGGGTCAAAACTGACCTCGACTGACCGGCGCCTTATATGAGCTATAAATCGAAAAAAAATGTCCACGGAGGAACCTCTTCATAACTCCTGAGGTCGTAGACCGACCCTCGGGCGAATTAATTAAGCATTCAAATTCTCAATGTTTTCGAAAGCCTAAGCAAAGCTGGGCAGCATGCCTAGTAACATTTTATAAATGCAATATTTATTTGCATGTCATTTAATATTCTAATTTATTCTAATTAAGGAATAAAATAGTTCAAAACAAAACTTTATACTGTTATTTTTAGTCATTCATTTTTGTGTTAATACAGTGGAGTTTCCTTATCCCAAGGGCTACAGGACATTACCCACCTTAGCCTAAAACTTCACACAAAACCAAAACCAACGCTAGACACAACCCTAACCCTAACTCTAACCCTAACCCTTACCTTAACCCTAACCCTAGCCCTAAACCTAGCCCTAACCCTAACCCTAGCCCTAAACCTAGCCCTAACCCTAACCCTAACTCTAACCCTGTCCGGGGGGGGGGGGGGTAATGTCCTACTGGGCGGGGGGGGGGTTAATTGACAGGGGGGTAATTACTCTGGGGGGTAATGTGGGGGGGGGGAATGTCCTGTTCCCATTCGCAAGATGGTCTGTGAGGCAGATGAAGTAGAGTTCATCTGTTTACCTGACTTTGGCTTATGAAGAGGTAGTGTGGTCAGTATTATGCTCAGCCATCTTAACTTTTCCTGAAGTGAGTCAAGTACCCATCAGATGGTATGGATTTAGGTCCAAACTCAAAACTGTCTGGTTAGTAGTTGAGTGCTCTGCCTTTTGACCATACTAATGTACATATGCTACTGTAAAACTAGCAACAACAACAAAGGAACAACTAATGCAATTTGATACTTGCTTTAGTATACCATTAACAATTCCTAACACTAAAGGAAGATTTTTAAAATTCTGATTCTGGCTTTATACTACAGTTTAAAACAAAAGATTATACTGAAGCAAATACATCTTTTAAGTTCGAGATACTTGCCTGTTCGACCACAAATATTCCGTATTCTAAGTTTTGCCTCTGCAGAAATGGGTGCATGTGCCGCAGAAATATTTTTAGATGTATTTGTCTCTCTCTGAATGGTACAATGATGGCTACCCTGTGCTGAGATCTAGTGGCAACAAGTTAGATATGAGTGTTTATAACAGTTTATAGCACATACATGAGTCATTTTATTTGTAAAAACTATATCTTTTCATAATGATCAAGTTATAAAAAGTTAATGGTTAATTTTCTTTATGATTATAATACCAAACTCAATTTTCATCACTTTTTCATTGTGTTAACATTTTTTTAAGCTGCTTTACATGTTTACATATAGAGATATATTTTAAATAAAAAAGAATTTACCTGTGATGAATGGAACAAAAAATAAATTTCAAGTAAAACATACAAAATGTCAATTTAGAACTTAACTTAAAATTAATTAAATTATAAAAGCATGATTTTTTCATTAATTCCCTATTGATGGAGTATTTGAAAAAAAAATAACAATTATCCTTGAGAAGAAAGTAAACTTGTTCTGTGAAGTTTAATAATTAACACTGATCTGAGAACCTGCAGTGTGGAGGAATGAAATGTCCTCCAGGTACGAGGTTGGGTCCTAGCTCTTCAACCAGCTCTGACAGACCAGGCACTGTGTCAGTGTCTGCATTAATTGGACCATCTGCAAAAATTTAAAAAAATAAGTTTTAACAATAGGACTGCATGGCCAGGCATTAAATAAGAACATGACCGCTAACTCAAATGCCTCCAGAGGCGTAGCGACCCTTCCCGGCTCCCGGGGACAAACTTTTCGATTTGCACCCCATCCCCCCCTCAAGATTTCGGTTTGCACCCCCTTCAAGATTTTGATTTGCACACCCGCCCCCCTCAACCTTTCAATTTATTTTTCCAACCCATTTTGGCGCCCCTAAGGTCGGTGCCCGGGGCCATATGTCCCCCCCCCCCCCCCTCGCTACGCTACTGAATGCCTCAAGTCTGGATTAAGGGCTTGAGGCTGTGGGATGTTTCTGAGTCCACCCAACTTTGTTGTATACCTGACTACTCAATACCTTCATAAGCTTGAGGACAGGGAAACAGGTGAAATCCAGTTCAATTACCCTATTGACCATGCGGTCCTTAAGGACATCATACTTTTAAACATTGTTGAAGATTTTTTCTTATACTTTTAATTTATTTAATTTAATAGTTTTTAATTTAATTGGTCAGATTTTACAAATGACATTTACGGATAGTATATAAAATATATTAATTATATTTATCATAAAACAAGGCATGAATGAAGAGACTTTTTTTATAAACAAAGCATTAATTAAAAATAAATGTAGACTTTCCGCAACTTAAGCGACACACATAACAGCTGAGTCAACTCAGTGACATACCACACACTCAAGCCATCATAATCATATTTATTAAAATTTTACCGAAATTTATTTTTATATTTCTCGATAATTAATTTGCCACTTGTTATACTTCAAATGTTGGTTCTGCTTAAAAAAAACTAAATAATAAACTAAAAAATATTTTGTTTTGGAAAGCCATGAAACACTTACGGGAAGAGTTGTACAAAGGGAGACTGCATGGTGTTTTGGGGGCAAGGAAGTTGAGATGAACAGCATTAGATAGCAAACCTGTGGAATATAGTATCAAATTATGAGCTTCAGGACAGTCGAAGGGATGAAGTATGTTTTGTCTTTGTGGGTATAAAAAAGTATAAGGATGTGCAATAGTAATTTAATCATGTACAACAGCAGTACTTGGGTGTACAGCAGTGGTAGTGGGGTGTCCAACAGTGGTAGTGGGGGTGTAAGGTTAGGGTGTGTACAACAGTACTACTTGAGTGTAACAACAGTGGTACTGGGGTGTGTACACCAGCAGTACTGGGGTGTACAACCGTGGTAGTGGGGTATAAGGTTAGGGTGTGACCAACAGTGGTACTGAGGGTGTACAACAGCTGCACTGGGGTGTACAACAGCAGTGCAAAGGTGGACAACAACTATACTGGGGTGTACAACTGAAGTAATAGGGTGTACATCTGGAGTACAAAGGTGTACTGCAGCAGTACTAGGACATATAACAGTAGTAAAAAGGTGTATAACAACAGTACAAAAAAGTACCAGTGGTACAAAAGCAGTACAATGATGTACAGCAGCAATATAATAGTGCAAAATTAGTACCATTATGTTGCTTAACTACAGTACAATGGTACACAATATTAATACAAAACACCTTATTTAAAAGCTTGTATCGCCAACAAAACAAACACACATTTACCTAATGCTATCCTCCTGTACTTGTTAGTCTTTTCCGCTGTATACAGTAATGAAAAGATGAAAAATGTCGTGATGATGATCAGAAACAAACAGAGGAACTGTCGTCTTCTGAATTTGGTGGATGGCCACAAAAACTTTGATGAATACATGGTGTATAGGGTTCTCTCATTTTACTCCTCGTGAAGCTTCATTCCTTTTGGAGACGATGGAATCTGAGAAAATGTGTTTTATCATTATTGAGTTTTTCAAAAACGAAAATCTCGTTTAAATTAATTAGATTAATGTAGAAACAACATCGTCGTTGAAATTAATCTGATGTGATGATTCATCATTATCATTTCCCGTTCGTGCCCATGACACATGGGGCAGATGAAGTAGAGTTCAACTGCTTCAGAAGCCTCGGCATATAAAGGGATAGCGTGGTCAGCACTATGCCCAGCCGCCTTTTTTTCCCTTACGTGAGTTAGGTACCCATTAGAGTTGGGTGTGCACATTTGAATCCGGATTCAAACTCGAGACTCTTGGGTTAGCAGTCTAGCTAGGCCAGGCCGTCCCAGATTTAATGATTAAACGCAGTTTGTTTCAGGGATTTCTCTATAGATGAGGAGAGGAATTACCCCTAAAAGCACGTCCACACGTTAATTAGGGGTCATCCATAAATGACGTCATGCCTTTTGGACGATTTTTACCTCCCCCCCCCCCTCCCCCCTGTCACACTTCGTCACAAAAAGCCAGACCCCCTCCCCCCCCCCTAAAATGACGTCACACCTCAGCCTACACCCCCCCCCCTCAAAATTGCAGTTGATTTTTTTTTTTAAACATCCATATTTTTCTAAAATCTTGTCTGAACTCTGTCAAAATAGAGTATTTTAATCAATTCCTATTACAATTTATTAAAACAGTTTTCTAAAACGCGAAATAACGTCTAAAATTCGTTTTCTAACATTGCTTTTTTATAATGCAAAAGTGTGACGTCGCAACGTCTGAACCCCCCCCCTCCCCCTCATCACACACCATCATAAACTTACGGACCCCCTACGAGTGTGACGTCATTTATGGACGACCCCTTTGGGAGTTTTTTTGTTATGATGTCACCCCTCTAGGACAGGGGTCGGCAACCTGCGGCTCGCGAGCCGCATGCGGCTCTTTTGATGTCGAGATGCGGCTCTTCAACTCCATGCACACATATTACTAATTATTTTAATTTATTTTTAAAACTCATAAAAATATTAGTCTGCAATGCTCCGTTATTAAAGATATAGATCTAATAACAATGTAAAGTTTATAATTTCGAGCAGAGCTTGCTAAACTACTTTAATATGTTTTGTGCGAAACATGTGTATGTTTTTTTATGAATAAATATTATTTCATATTTTAAATGTAATGTATATATATATATATATATATATATATATATATATATATATATATATATATATATATATGTATATGTATATATATACCTAATCAAATATCATAATATTGAAATAAAAATGTTTGTGGCTCTTTAAAAACTGTGAAATATGGTAGATTGTAACTTTTGGCTCTTCTGTCCCAAAAGGTTGCCGACCCCTGCTCTAGGATAGTGTCACACCCCCCTTCCCCGTTATATATAGTCATCCCCCTTTAAAAGTTTAATAGTGTCTTGTTTGGTCTTAAAATAAATGACAGCTAAAAACAAATTTTAAAAACCTATGTAAAAAAAAACTTTTCTAGTTTTAATCCTCTCATATATAAAAAGCTGTTTTAAAAAACTTAAAGCTGTTTAAGAGGGATGGTTGATTTTTTTAAAAAACAACTGCAGTAACCATCCACTTCTACTCTCATCCATGGATAGCTACTGGGGGTTATCCATAATTCAGTGACCATTTTTTAAAGTACGATCATCGTAAAACGTGAAGGCCCTACTTAGACTTTAAATGAGTCATAGATTAGAACATTATGTGCTGTTGTACTGAGTCCGGCATTGCGTTTTATTTATTGATGGAATCGTGTTAGATCAGGGGTCGGCAACCTTTTGAAGCGGAAGAGCCAAAAGTTACAATTTTCAAAATTTCCCTGGTTTTAAAGAGCCACTAACATTTTTTTTATTTCAAATATTTTATTTTTTGATTAAGATTATTAGTATTTGTTTAAGGAGCTGGAGAGCCGCATCTTGATATCAAAAGAGCCGCATGCGGCTCGCGAGCCGCAGGTTGCCGACCCCTGTGTTAGATATCCGTGAATTTAGTAGTCAGTACTCACTACGAATGTAGTCACCTATATTGGTAATAGCATTAACTGTAGAGGTAGCAGCCTATATTATAGGCTGGTTAGTAGCCCTCACTGTACAGGTAGGTGACTATATTGGCTAGTAGCACTCGTTGCCTATAGAGACCAGTTATTAGGACTCACTGCAAAGGTAGTGGCCTATCTAGGCAAGTAGTACTCACTGCAAAGATAGTAGCCTTTATAGGCTAGCACTCACTGTAAAGTTAGCAGCCTTTATAGGCTAGCACTCACTGTAAAGTTAGCAGCCTATAGAGTTCAGTATTTAGAACCCACTGCAAAGGTAGTGACCTAAAGGCTAAATAGGCTAGTAGCGCTCACTGTAAAGGTAGTTGCCTATAGCGAACAGAAGTTAGCACATACTGCTAAGATAGCAGCTTATATTGGCTAGTAGTTAGCACTCACTGCAAAGGTAGTAGCTTATATAGGCTAGTAGCAGTCACTGCAAAGGTAGTGGTCTTTACAGGCGAGTGGCACTCACAGTAAAGGTAGACCAGTAGTTATCACTCTCTGTCAATATAAGTTTATTAAAATTCCTGCAGTTAGGCGAGCCATAGTGAAATATGATTTAATAATTTACACTCAGTAGTTCACTTTTGTAGTTAGGCAAGTGTGTCGACAAGTTTTAAATACACATTGACTCACCTTCCCATCGCTGCAACACACCGTCTGGACTCGGGGTAACATGCAATTAAAAACACAGCAACAACACGGCACGTACACGCTCAGAGTATATTAAAAAAGGTCATAGTTCACACATCTGAAGGTATAGCGAGAACACGCGCGCGAGTGTGAGTCGCGCATGCCAACAGAAGGTGCCGGAATTTTCATGGTAGGCCGACGTGTATTCTCCCCCTTTCTTTTTTTTTTCAACACGTCCGCCCGACGCTATAAGATACATGAGGGTTTAGGACCTAGGTGTATGGGCAAGGGAGGGAACTCACTTCTGCGGGACAGTGGGTTGCGGTTACTGAATTATTTATATTCATCAGGCTAGCCGCTACATAGAAGAAGGGTTCAATAATTTTCTTGAGAGGGTTCCTGTAAAATGCATGTGTTTGCCGTGGAGTATATAAATTACAGGTGTAGTTAGCCCGGGCGCGGTCACGTGAAGTAATTAAAGATATGGAAAAGCTGAGAGTCAACAAGATGTTACATTTTTAGTTTTAGTAGCCACCAGAGTTTCTTCCAGATATCCCCTAAGAAAGTCTACCTCCTCCCCCCCCCTCCCAACGAGATGGAAATTTATATAGAAAACATACTTTTACCAGTGTCCGCCAAACCCCTCCTCCCCCGAAAATATCAAATACCCCATGCACTCCCCCCCCCCCCCCCGGAAAAGTATGGAAGAAACACTGGTAGCCAATAGCCTATAACTATGAGAGTACTAGATTTTTTTTGCTCATTTCTCTTACGTAGTTTTCTCTACTACTGTAACAATAACCTAGAATACAATACAAACATAACAATACAGTACACTACACCACACAATCATACAATTATCCCATGAACCCCCGGAATGACGGCTGTCTAAGGTTAGGTTATATCCATTTGCTGTTGTACATATGTATGTACAGTAGCGTAGCGGGGGGGGGGGGGGGGGGCGGGACATATGTCCCCGGGAGCCGACCTTAGGGGGCGCCAAAATGGGTTGGAAAAATAAATTGAAAGGTTGAGGGAGGAGCATATCGAAAGTTTGAAGGGGGTGCAAATCGAAATCTTGAGGGGGGGGGGGGGGTGCAAATCGAAAAGTTTGTCCCCGGGAAGGGTCGCTACGCCTCTGTGTATGTAGCCTATGTATGTATGTACATTAGCCTATTGTTGTAGCTTGATCTTTCAACTAGCCCAAATTATTTTGACATGTGAGTTTAATCAAATTATTGGAGCTTTTTTTCAGTATGAAGCTGACCTAAATTATTTTAGCACTTACTCACTAATTAATTTTGACCCAAATTATATTAGCTTACTTAAACTTTCTGGGATTGAATTTGATCCAGATTTGTTTTTACCACTTTCTCACTAATTCAACCTATATTATAGCACTTTCTCACATCTGACGTTAATCCAAATTATTTTAGCACTTTCTTCCAACTTCTACAGTGTTACTTTCTTCATTAAAAGAAATTAACTTGATATCAATTAGTTGTAATTTTTTAATGCCAAACCATCAGGGGAGGCAACTATTTTACTAAAAACAACAATAGCTATCATCACTATTTGTATCCTGTTTATATGGTAACATGCACACAGAAACAATAAACAGCTTCAACATCATAAAATATCAGAGCAGCACTTGTTTTAATCCATTTCAAGTTTTAGAAAAAATAACCCCCAATACCTAAAAATAAATAGATAACACAAATAAAACCGTCCTTTGTTCCAAAACTATAAAATCACATTTCTTACATGTCTGCTGACACAGTACTCAACAAATACAAACTAAAGACATCACAAAAATACTCTGCAATAAACAAAAAATTGACATGCACTGAAAAGAACATTTGTTCTGCAATGTTTCAAACCACACTAATCCCTGATCAAATATTTTAACAAAGCAACTAGAAACAATTAGTGGAGATCAACACAAATGAGTATGTAGGTATACCTTTTGACAAACATACTTAGTATTACAGAATTTGTAGAATAATACATCAGCTTGTAATTAGCACACACACAAATTGTTTATGCAGATTTTAAAAAAAATCACTTAACAATATCATTTTCATCAAGGCATTAAGTTATATTTCTTTAATATCAGAATCAAGAGAAGATACAGATTTTTTAATAGAACATGTAACTGAATTGAGCTCTATTTATATTTTTCTTGAAACAAAATAGTTTTTTTTGAGATAAAGTATAAATATTATTCATGTAAAACTCGTTCCCACGCTCATACCCATGAATACATTTTAATATTCATTATTAACAGTCCACCACAACATCTGTATCTATAACAAATTCAGAATTCACACACACACTAAATTGGTAATTAAATCAACATACCTCAACTTCTAACCTAAAAATTTACATATTTTTTTTTTACATAACACTAAGTAATTTATTCAATGTTGGAGGAAACAAGTTTTTATTTCTCTGCACTTGATTTTATTTGCTCAGCTCTGGCTAAGTTCATGCCTGCTACACTTAATCCTTGCGCCCTCTGGTGGCGCCCAATGGCTGCCATTATTACAGATCCTATTAATGTCATGGCCACCATAATGAGAGAAACCCTAATGCGAAATTTATCCATTGCTTTTTTCATCTTGTCCTTCCTGTTATGAGAGGGGAAAAAATGTAAGTTTTTTTTATTCAGAAGACATAAGGGTCATATATAAATGATGTCACACAAAAAGCCAGACCCCCCTCCCTAAAATGAAATCACATATCCTACAACCCCCTCAAAATTGCAGTTTAATGTTTTTTTTAAACATTGATTTCTTTCTAAGATATTGACACAATCAATTTCTATCACAATTTATTAAAACATATTTCTAAAACGCAAAGTAACTTCTCAAATTAAGTTTCTAACTTAATTTTTTTTTTAATGCAAAAAAGTGATGTCAGACTATCTGAACCCCGACCTTTTATCATGCATCATCACAAAATATGTGTGATGGCATTTACGGATGACCCCATTCAAATGTATAGGTTAAGAGTCATCTATAAATTAGACACTCCAAGGTGGCAGTGGATTTTGGATTTTGTGACTATATGTGACAAGTAAAGTGTGAAGAAAGTGTGACAACACAATTTTCATTTTAAAAAGTAATTTATGAAACAGAATTTACATTACTTAGTGTTTTCAAAAATAAAGAGGTTTTTTTTGTAAAAAAAAATTTAAAATTATCAATATACTCAATGTTTACTTAGTAAGATTTGACCACAAACCCACAGAGTTTTTAAATAAAACAGTTAATCTGCATTTACAACAAGATGCTAAAACATCATTTAGAGATATTTTGATGCGTTTGTTTATCATTGAATATAAAAGATATAAAAGGCAGTAGACTAGAGTTATCATAAAGATATGCTTTTCCACAACCCAAAGTCAATGGAAAAAACTTGACATCCTTACTCTCAAATAGTGACTAAAATCCAGAGTCCTATATTCAAACACTTATGACAGCACTAGAGAGGCTAAAAAATACCTGCAGCAGAATTGTGCTGCAGTGGATCCCGGGCCACTGCCAGATCCAGGGTAACGAGATCGCAGACCAGCTGGCAAAAATTGGGGGAAAGAAACCACAACCGGAAATTTCGCTACACCCAAAAGAAATAAAAAGAATAATAAAAAACAAACAAACGCAAATGTGGTCTGTCACACACCCTCACTACATTAAAGACGACGGCTATTATAATTTAACACGAAAACAACAATACATAATCTTTCGACTTAGAACAGGCCACAACAGACTAAATCAACACATGAACAGAAAACTGAAGGTTGGGTGTAGCGAAATGTGCCCTTGTGGCAAGGCCCCGGAAAACACGGAGCACGTACTCCAGGAATGTACGTTGTATAGCCAGGCACGAGTCAGACACTGGCCCCAGCCCACCCCACTCAGGGAAAAATTATATGGGGCACCTGACAAACTGGAGGCCACAGTCCGGTTTGTCCACGAAGTTGGACTACTTGTCTGAATCCTCCACCATATTCACAATTAAGAACGAAGAAGAAGAAGAAGAAATAGTGACTAATCCAATAATTCAAACATTTCTTTGTTTTAAAAAAACGCTCAATAAGCCTACGTACGTGATTCTATCTGGCACTTTATCAACAGAGGGGTAAAATTTTCCCCATACTAGAATTTTTTGTTGCAGTGGTGTAGGTTTGTATGTTCCAGCACCATCTGAAAAAAAAAAAGAAAAGACATACATATGAGGAAAGAAATTTTATACTGAAGAGAAAAAGAATTTTCTTTGTAAATACATTTGTGAAAATTTAACAAGCAAGGAAAAAATAAAAACTGAGAAAAAATACTTAATTCAAATTGAAGTAATTTCATAAAATACTGCTAATTTGTTGCAGATTTTTATTTTACATTGAAAAATCCATAAATAAATATATATAACGAGAAAAATGGCCCGTTGAGGAATGATACAACGAGCGCTAGGTTGATAGGTGCTGTCTATTTTCTCGGTACTTTAATTTATACAAAATATAGTTATAGGCATATCCCTAAACCATGCGACAGAAGTCGCATTTAGAGTTTCTTTCAGGCAACTCTACTTGGGAGGAGGGGGCTTCGCCCCCCTCCCCCCCCCCCCCCACACACTCCAAAACATGTCTACCGTCCCATTCAACGAAATATAATTATATACTTTTTCCAGTGTCCGCCCCCCTCCCAGAAAATTCTACCCCCGCCCCCGAAAATTTCAAGCACCCCCACCCCTCTCCGGGGAGGAAAAAGTCTGAAAGAAACACTGGTCGCATTTGTAGATCATACAAACTAAAGGAAGAATCTGGGCGGGGCTTTGCCCCTACCGGAAGAGATGCTTGAAAAAAAACTGCAAGCTAAACACTTTTTAGATTAGAAAAAGTTCCCGCCTCTGGGGAGGAAAAAGTCTGAAAGAAACACCTACCCGAAGAATTGTATGAAAGAAACTCTTCAAGCAAACCACTTAGATTAGACAAAATTGCCATTTTATTCAATGTTTACTCGAGAATCAATGACGTCATATTACAGTGTGCACTCTCCGGCTTGATATTATTTTCTTCTTTATGCTCAAAATGACGTCATATTTC